TGTAACGGATGTATAATATATGCAGCATGCTTGTATAACTAAAACCGAGAAAGTCTATATATAGTGTATTATATACCTACCACCATGTAGTGGACATTAGGTAGCGTTTTTTCTGAAACCTACATATTGCTATGGGTCACAAGGATATTGGTAGCGTGACTATCAAAGAAAACACTCACTTATTATTATTGTGGTCCGCTTTATAATAATAATGAGCATTGACATTCCATACAATCGTATACCGTTACTAATATTCGATTTGAAAAGGATGAAAAAACAATGGTTTTTAGGCGAGGTACCCTATAAGTATATTTTTTCTAAGCGATATCGCAATAGAAACTTTGTATCGGGGGGGACAACTGTTATATCTTATTTCTTTTATATAAATATAATTTGAAATCGAGTCAAACGTGTTGTCTTCTTTTACAAGAGTGAAAAAAAAAACATTTATAATAGGTACGTTTGCCTATACAAACCAGAAGCGATTTATTACCTTGTTCTATAATGTAAAAACCCATTGTTTTTAGTTAGTAATCAAATGTGATAAAAAGTTTTACTCGAAAATTAGTTGGTAAACATTTGGCAGTGATTGGCTATGGTTATATGTTTTTAAATGGCAAATGGTAATTCACATGCGAACGATGCCATATCGCACCACGGATAGTATTATCCTATTGGTACCTATAAATGTACTTATAACTATTATGTAGTATGTATTCACTGCACTATCACTATTATTAATATTAATATTATGCTAGAACTAATATCTTAAATTTAAATTAATATTCATGCTTAAGTTCCTCCGATGGGAGGTCTCTTCATTCAGTCTCTTCTGTCTATTTTTTGTTTATGTTATTATCAATTAAGCTTATTGTTCAATATTGTAACAGATAGCGTAATAAATATAAAATTTTGTTAAAAAAAAAATAAATGTACAGTACAAAGCATGCCATTATTTATTATATTTTGTCGAATGCTATTCAGTAAACCAAAGGTTAAGATTAAGTTAATTTATTCAATACAAGAACGCATTAAAAATACCTAATAGAAATTCTAACCCATTGATGAATAATATGTATTTATTGACTCATTTAAAAACCATTTTTTTTTTTGAGGTTTTTAATACTTCTAAAATACAATAAAAAGTTGTATTAGAATGTGTAATACGACCATTGATTTATACCTGTATTATAGTTTATTTAGGTTGGCATTTAGTATTCATCTTTCTTAAGATTTATTAAATAAATTAAATGATTCTAAGTTTCTAATATGTACATTAAATGGCAAATGCTACAAAATAGAAACAATAACTATGGAATAATATAATATTTTGCAAACCATGATTTGTAGATTTTTACGCAAATTTTGATGTAATAATGTACGACGAATGAAGAAGACATTTGCTTTAAACTTTAAATTATACTAACTGTATAGATGTCTACAAATTTATATTTACCCAACGTTAAAGTTATCTCCAAATCCCAAATCTGTAAACTCATTGAAACATTACTTAAATATAGCAAATTTGTTTCTGAATTATTTTAATTATTTTAATTAGATCAATTTACTTAAAATATGACAACATGTAGTTTCCCAATTCGTGTTTAAACTTTCTTTGGTATTGGGTAAACATTAGCTGTCTATGTAATGTATTTATAATAACTATTATCTAATATCTAATATAACTATTATCTAATACGCAAAATTGCAAAATATTCTGGCCATTCTGCATAAAATATATACCTAGTAAATGATTTATATTAAAATTGTTTATTTTAGTTAAAAATATTCAATATATTTTATTGTATGGTATGATTAATTAATACTAATTATACATATACTAATTATTAGTATCTTTATAAAATGTTAATAAATATTCAGTATCTATAGCAAAATGAGGGTTTTTTTTTTAATTAAGAGTTATTATGAAACATTTTCAATTTGTTATAATATGGTATAACTGATAATTTTAAAATTGAATAATAAAAATAAATGGAATATATTGATTTAGTTTAAATATTTAAAACTTCAACAAAAGTTAAAAACAAACCTTAAACTAAGTTCATAAGAATGTGTCTTTAAAATGAAACTGGCGTACTTTTAACCATTTCAAATTTAAAACACTGAAATCATTTTTAGATGTATAATAGCATCTTTAGATATCAGCCAGTTACAACAGAATCATTATTAATGAAATATTGATTAAAATGATTTAATACATTTATGACATATTTTTTAATTTTATCTGAAGTTTATAATATGCTCTGTTATATAATATAATATTGTATAGTGTATACCATATAATAAGTACAAATGATATGTTTTAACAATAATAATATTTTAATAATATGTTCAAAAAATTGTTTGCATTATATATGATTGTATATTATGATTGCAGTGTACCATCTATAAGTGCTTATCTATAATATAACTGTCATAACTAATCAGCAGTTGGATGAATCTAGACCGATTTTCTGGGATGAGAGGCATTCATAATATGAATGTAATGTAACAAATATATTTTACCAAGTACATTTATAAAATCTATCACTTGGACTGGTCATATCATTAATTGGAGATGGCGTGATAAAAGAGATATAATAATATTTAAAAAAGTGAATATACAAAAGTGTCACTATCATTTTGAATTTATTTTTTTTATTTTTATAAAATAGTAATTGTACAATCTGTAAAGTTATTTTTTACAATAAGCACAATTAATGGTGCTAGAATTTGTAGAAATAATAGAAAAAAATAAAAATTAAATTAATTAATTTTTTCTGGAAGTTTAAAATTACAGTTTATTTTTTAAAATTATCCAGGACCCATGTATTATTATAGTATAAGCAAAACTATAGATTGAAAAATGTTGTTATTTACAAAAATTCCCAATAACGTGGACTCCTATAAGTATAATATGTACTTTTCTTTGTATATCAACGGCATCATTTTCGAAATGTATAAAATAATTAATAAATAAAAATTTTACTATTTTTGCTTACATTTTAAAAAATGTATATAATTACTAACATAAAACGAATATTTCTTAAAAAAAAAATGTGGAACTATGTATGTGTGTGGTGTGAGCTCTGCAGAAGGAGGGCATTGGGTTGCCCTCTCTCAGATACGTCATGGCAAGTATTAAGTATCTACATATTGCACTTAAGTATTTTGAACACACAATGAACAATAATAATATAATATAATATATCTACGTGTATGTGTTAAAAAACCTATTTATCGCGCAGCTGCAGTATTTGAAACATAATTCATGATATTTTTATGTCACAAATTATATAAAAAATTCCATTGAGTTACAACTATAGATATAATATTATAATTACGAACAAAAATTGCAGTTCTTTTTGCTTATATCAATTATGAGACGAAACCAATAAAGACGAAAATGCACGTACTAACAGATTATGCAGAGAGAAATAATTCATAATATAGATTCAATACTTTCGATAACTTTTAAATTTAAATCTCCATATCTACCGACTATCGATGTACCTCTGTATGAGATACTTGGATTAAATAAGATGTATTACATGACTATAGGTTATCATGTACCTTATACAGAGTGATTTACCAAGCATAATCACCACTGTTTTTTCAATTCTAGGGTTCACGAATCAAATTTTGATGTTTGGAATTTTTAAACATAGTTACATATAAGGACCACATTTTCAAAAAAATTGATTTTTAATACCATTTATATTAGGGCCTAGAGGCGTCTTATGGCGATACAACTTTTTTTTTCCATATAAGAATCATAATTTTTTCCTGTAAATTGTTAATTAAATGACTTATGAAAATGTTGATGTATCTAAATCAAAGTGCAAACTAGTAGTTTTTGAGTTATTCAAACATGTGTATATAGTATATACTGAGGACAATGGGTCCATGATAATGTATTAGACTGTAATGATTTGAAAACTTAAGTAATTAATATTTATTTTTCAACATTTCATAATTTGTAAAAATTTTCCAAGTAAAATACATATTAGATCTAATATTACGAGTTTGTTTATATTATATTTACTATCGTTACACTATAATTTATATTAGGATTATTATCTTAAATAAGTATATTTTAATAACTATTTTTTTAAATATGATCTCTAGTAATTGGGTATACTTAAAAATTTCTAAAAACTGAATTAAATAAATGTATTATTAAAGGGAAAAAATATGGGAGTGAGCATGATTGGTGAGTCATCTTGCGGCCTTGCTGGACACTATAAAAAAGTGTCCTCTTTAACTTTTTTCAAAGAAACGCAGTAAAGAACTCTCAAATTAATCTAAAACGATAATTATGTGACACACTGACATAGCACTGCCTGAATTATTATGCAAATAGAATTTGGTATAGGTGTCTGATTAACGTCTAAACGGTATAATACTATGTTAGTGTGTTATTTATAGGCGTAGTACGTGTTTATATATGAGATACCTATTTCTGTGCGCGATAATTCGATTTAAATATTATTTTATCTGGCACTCGAGAGAAAAAAAATACATGCTAGTACGATAACTCGCACCATGGCATTAGGGCGTATTTCCCGTTAACCATAATATTATAATATTACTATAAAATAGGTACCTACCTATCATTACTTAACCTATCATATTATGTACCTAAAATATAACGAAATCTTGTATTTTATGAATGACGCGTCGTGTAATAATGATTTGACTACAACACAGTGGATATATACATTAGTAATATATCATAGTACGTAGTTTTGTTGTTACCGTACGAGGTAACCGGTACCAGGTGCCTGGTGGACTACAGTGGTCGGGTTACCGGGTGGCGTGCCACAGCGCGGAGGGACGCACGCGCGGTGCGGTGGCGGCGACCGCGACGACGACGATTATTACCACCTGATGACCGCTGCCGCCGCCGATGCGCAAGCGCACTTGTTTGCTCTCGTACAGGTGCCGCCGCCGGCCGTATATACGTCTTGTGTGTGAGTTTGTTGTGCGTGTGTGTGTCGCTACTGCCGCCGCCTCTGCTCTCGTGTCTGCCGGCGCGCGCGTCGTCAACGGTCAAACGTCCTTGCCGCGCTCCAGTTCGTCCGCGACACGACGCGCGCGCAGTCTGTCGCTTCATACGCACGTCCGTCGCGCTTGTGTTTTTCAGTTGTTTTTTTTCCGATTTTTTTTCTCAATAATAATAACAACATCTCCTTTAACGTTTTTAAAATTTTTTTTTATTCGTCGATGCTGGAAAACGGCGGTCTACTCTGCTACAACAGCGATACATAATATTATTATCATCATATTTAATCACGGTTAATATTATCATATTTATGCTCGTCGATATCGAAACGGGAAAATCGTTTTGACGGCGTTTATCCTCATCATAATAAGATATTATGATCGGTCCGAATTCGGTTTCTAGTGTTTCTCTCTCTATACAGTGATTACTTAACACGTCCACACATCTAAAGAAGATAACGTGTATTTTTGTTTTTTTAAAATAATATATTAACTTTATTTTGATCAAAAATAAAAGTGTTCTTGTTTTTATCAAGTGTACGGAGGACTATCATGCCGGTGATAACATGATGCGGGATTTGGACGCATCCAGTCCAGTCGTTTGGCCTCCATGGTGTTATTCAGGTAAAAATATAATAAATTTGTGATTTGTAATATGATAATAACAATATTATGGTCATTGTGTCGTTTTTCATAATTTTGTTCTTCTTCTTTGGATATGGCGTTTCGATTTTATGCACGGCGTGTTTAAGGTGCATAAGGTCTAAGCGATATAATCAAAATATTATAAATGACAATCAAACGCCGTACTTGATCTTATTATTGCGCAATTTTAGTTTTCGCGATATCAGTAGTGTAATAAATATATTTCACCTAATGAAGTACCTACCTGACAAGACTTGTGAACTAATTAATAGCAAAATCTGTTTGGTACCTATAGGTAGTAAATATTTTAAAACTGCTTGTTTTGAATTAAGCTTTTTATTGCTACCGGTATTAAAGCTGACCTCATAACCGTTTTTAATTTAATGTAGGTAAGTCGTAAAAGGGCATAATAAAAAGTCGCGAACTAATCGCTTATATTGTTGCCTTTGTAAGTGCATCGTACTAGTATTTAATCTTTAACCATAATTATTGCAGACCATAAAAGTATACTTGAATTGACAATTATTCACTAAAAATCTGTAAAGTAGTAGACGATATGAATCTAAATGTTACAACAGGTTTTTTCGTTTGGAATAATTAAACTTTGATAAAGCACTCGAGCGTTTCAAAAACCGACATTTGTTATCTAAAGTCCCGGTTGTTCTATTATGAATAGGATAGGGTCATAAGTTCAATGGCCTTTCAATCCCATTAACTAGATATCATGTGTATGTTTTCTATTTGACCAGTGAATTTGGTTATCATTTAACACGAGGAGAGTACATTAAAATTGTAGCTAGACATTATAATATTTAATACGTGTGTCTGTTAAACAATGGTCCGATATCGACCGTCATTTTCCAAAAAGATGAAAAATTATGATTAACTGCTTGCGATATGAGCCATAGCGTTGGGTAGAGGTAGGGGTCTTAGGCATAATTTATTTGATTAATAATTACTATTTCGTCAATTTAAAACAAGTTTTATAGTTTTGTAGAGATTAATATAATATATATTAATACAACAACACAGATAATATTGACATATTTAAAACATATTTTATTTTTATACATTGTGTACGTGTTATATATTAATATTCTTTTAACGAGATTATATATCTATTACCTATTAGAATTTCGTATATGCGTTTCTGAACAAATACTAGAATGACTTATATCCGTGTTGCCGTGTTGGGGTTTGTGAATTCTCAGAGGCAGTAGGTCGTGAACAGATAACTAAATTGTTTTAAATAGTTTCCTCGATAGAGAATTGCATAATTTAATTTTGACCTTTATGGTCTCCGGGAGTGTGTATGAAATAATAGGAAAAAATATATTATATCGGATAGGCGAACGCACGAGTACTCTGCAATCCTTGACCCGAAGACTTTTTAGACCATCACCCGTGTGACACATGACCTAATCGACCCGGTTCTTATCGATATATCCCTTACATGTGACGCAAAACTCTGAATTAGAGTAATTAATATATATTATAAACTATGATAAATGTTTTAGAAATTAAATTGGACTTTAAAAAGTTACATACAAAATGCGATGTTCACTCGAGTGAATTAATATGACGTTCCATATAAAACTATAATTTTTTTTTTCAATTTACTATTTTATTACTTTATTATAAATTATAAATATTTAAAATTAGCTGTTAAACATAAACTATAATATTATATGCATAGATATGTATAAAGTAATAAATATGTAACTGTGTTATAATCTGAGTACCGTAGTATATTAGTTGTATAATATTTTATTACCTATTTGTTTTGATTAAAAGGTAGACTATATAATATCTATAATAATAATAATAATAAAAATAAACAAAAACTTATTTGTGTGATCTCAAAAAAAACATGTTATAATATTTGCTGAATCAGTCATAGCGTCTTAGTTTTTAATTATACTTGTGTACATTGCCTTTTAGCCGTAAATATTATTTTACATTCAAATATTCTGTTAAGACCATTGACATATCAATCTTTTTCTAATGATTATTGTCCCCGAATCTCTCTCACTGCTCTCAGTCCATATCTTTATTCTTTATATGTTGTTGGTTAAAAACCGTTCGTCCGTAATTCGATGACAACATTCTCTAACAGATAATTTGTTACACAATAAATGTTTTGAATGCGAAGTGTCTTATAGAATAATAATGAATCGTGATCGGTGACAAAATCTAATTCATGTCTGACCATTTCTGGAAACAATGATATACGTATCTGAGAATGGCATTGCTTGTCAATGAGTAACATATGGGCATTTTAATATTGGGATATAGAAGTTTAGATCTAGTGTCACCTATAGGTTTAATAATGATATATTAAGAAATCCGATATTAATATTGAGCGATTTTGGTTTTTCGATTACCTACTATAGAGATGTGTAGAGGTATTCAAAATATATTTGAATAATAATAATACATATTATTAGTTTCCATTTTGCAATATTCCACAGTCACGTGAACCGTATAATAACGCATATTCATCGCAGTCAAGGTAACCGCCAATCGGTTCGTCTCTAATTATGTTCGTATACCACTATACCTACACATTTTGTGGACTCGTTTTAGCCGAAGTTCGTTTTTTTCATCCTATAAACAAAATATAAGTACGTTTTCGTTTATCTGTGTTTAGAATATATATAAATAATATAATATATACTAGCACAACCTTAATATCACTCATGATAAATGACGATTTATGTGCCACTCTGTATTTCTTCGGAATGTCTTTAATTAGTTGTGTTTAGTATGATGATTTGATCTCTACCTAACCCCGAGGGAATCTAATGAGATGTTCACGGTCAAAAATAAATACACACTTATGTGTGTACTAAAAAAATGATGTTCGCTAATAAATCAGCAGTTTAAAAAATCCACCGTTGCTCGTTTTATAAACTCTGGATGGGTAAACGAGCGGAACGAGTAAAATAAATTTGAATACGGACGTTAATTTATTTCAGTGAAAGTAGTGTTATATTTCAGAGAAGAGGGCAACGTAAGATTTCGTATATTTATTATAAGAAACGCTATTTTTGGGATGTTTTCTATTATAGGACATTTCTTTAAATGGAAAAAAAATTGAGAAATCGATTTAAATTTTATGCTTGGAGGTCAACTACGTCAAAATGAAAAAAATTAAATCATATCTTTGGTCATCTGAGATAAGCTATTTATGAAACCCTATCATTATTATAGTATATTACAACTGGTCTACAAGAAAAAACCCGTCAGCAAATCAGAGCGCCGGTACACAGCGGGGATTTGTAATAGAAAAAAGAAGTACCTATACCTATGGATATAAAGTATATGTAATAATTATGAAGGGGAAAAAAGAAGATGGAAAGAGTAGGGATTGTTTTGAGCACAGGTGAAACTGGATTACACTTATATTATACATAAACCAACGAATGTACTTATGAGCACACACAACCTGACACACTACTGGCTGAACTAGTCCGTTAATAAACGGCAATAAATATATCATCTGATAGCATTTTTATTATCGACTATCGAGTTAGCTACTGTCGTTTTTAATTACATACTGGACGAAATATTATTATCATAAATATAAATGCATACCTATGCGGCTATGCCATATACAACATGTCGACCCCGACTTTAGCTAAGAGTGGCATATTGACAATCGATTATTGTATTTTTTATTTTGGTTGATTCATACTGAAAACTGTATGAAATAGTATGTACTATTATTTAAATGATTTTATCATATTATGAGATTTTTAATTTTGAAATAGAAAATATGTTGCTAATAACCTACACGGTTTATATTTATTTATTATTCCACAATGGTAAATGTTACCATTGTTACAACTTAAATTCAGTAAAATATCAAAATCATTTCTTTGTTTTGTCTTAGAAATATCTGGAAATTAAGTACAGTTGTAAGTGCTTTATCTATACATTTTAGGTAGGTACTTATATTAGTAAAAGCGTAACAAAATTCAACAACATATTTTGGTTTTAAATAAGAATTATATAGTAGTAGAATTAACACATTACCTCTTTAACCATAAAGTGTAAATAAGATTCCACTTGGTCGAATAGCGTAAAATAATAAAAAAATAATGTAATAATTGAATAATATAACGGTTGAATGTTGTTTAATTAGTATCTTTATGCTTTATGAAACAAAGTCACTGAAGGATAATCTTAATAAAATTTTTACAGCTATGATGTCTTCGCTAATATGAACTTATAGTTTAGAATAGTGGACTTAGATATTGTCCAAGAACTTTAAAAAAAATATAGGTAAGATACTTTAGGGTTTGATACTTTCATGAGATGTATAATTTTACTAACACGTCATCTAAATTATTGGATCATTGGTAGGTTATGTGTGAATTAGTCTTCAGACTAAAATTTAATTTATTTTAAGATTTTTTTTACATTTATAAAATTTAATAAAATAATCATAAGACCTTGCTAACTAACATTTCTTAATGCAAATTGTGCTTATTATGATTTATTTGCATTGGATTTTGAATTTTTTAATAAAATAAACGTATTGTTTTGTAAGCATGATTAAGTTTAGATGAAATTGAAGGATTTAAATATTGACCTGTTTAAAGGTTTTAGATGACAATTTAGATGTATATTATAAAAAAATTAGACCAAAATGATTATAACTCGTAAAATATTTTGTTTATGGTCAAAAAATACGATTTGTTGTTTTCCTTGAGAACCTATCGAAATTCAAAAGGTACTTACTAATGTTAAGTTTCTTCCAAAACCTGAAAATGAATAAAATGTAAGATTTGATTAATAAAGTATTTTTATAATTCAAGTGTAACAAAAAATATTAAAATAATGTAACAAACACATATCACCGTAAAATAACGTAATAATAATTACAAAAAAATGTTTAATTTATGATTGCTAAATAATTGAATACTATTTTGTGCACTTAATTATTATTTATTTAAAATATTTAGTAGTATTTG